TCTCAGAAGCACCATCACCTTCTTTTGAAAGTAGAGAATCCAACCTCATTTTTGTTAAATATTTACCAAAATCATTGCATAGTGGTGCAAATCTACAAAAAGCCATAAGGTATTACATTGCTACAGAGCTAGCCCTGGATTTCTCTGCATGAAAAAGCAGCAAATGCTTGTGTCCTTGACATCCCAGGATTTCCAGTAGAGCTCCCAAGAGTGAGGATGGCTCCTCTCTGCCCTTCTTTGTGAGACACAAATCTGCTAATATTTGCCTAGTAATGTACTCCCCAGCAGCTTAGGAGGCTTGGCTCATGCAGTCCCCTGTGGGCACTTCCACTCCAGAGACAGACGTTTAAGGACACATATCCTCTTTCTGCACTAGAAGTTAGCATTAAAAATCCCACGTGGATTTTAGCTGGGGAATTCAATTAGTGCCTTTTTTTCAATACATGGCCATGCCCCTATCTATAAAATGTTACATATCAATGGCCTGAACAATAAGCTTGTATAATTTTGTGTTGAGATAAAATTATATTGCCAATGGTTACAGTTTTTCCTCTCGTGAAAGAGCTGTTGACACCAACGGCTGTGCAAATTAGAAGTGACAGCCACAACAACTGTTCCACATTTGAGTAACACAAAAGCATGCAGACAAAAAATGGGGTTGATGTGGCCAACAATGCCACCTGAAGTGTGCCTGTATCACTTGTGTGTGTTTTTACCTCCCCAATGTGACTGAACCATGTCTGTCCTGAGCTTCAGTGCTCATATGCGCAATTTCAGAATGATGTTATATTGTGAACTTACAAGAAATTCTCTTCCTCATCTATTTCAATCACTGTACACTGACATAAAGTCAAAATGAGTTAAAAACCCCTTTAAGTCTTTGAATTATCTGTAATCATGGAAGACTGTACTTAAAGTATCCAGCATTGTGATCAAGCAGGAAACTTTTTTGATATCCAAATCTCAAGGGTAAACTCAGGAAGGAGAGTCTGTGGGGTGCTGCCTTTAAAGTCTGGGGTTCAAGAACTGCACACAGTTATTTCTGGGGAATACATGAGCTCTTGTGTTTGGCCTTTCATGATCTTATTTTTAGGTGGTCAATGGCTCTTGGAAACACCATAAAGCTAATGCATAGTAGAGTCTTTTAGTCAAATAAAATTTAAAGTAGGAAATATGATGGTTAAGGCTATTCCAATAACATACATTCTTGTCTACATTTATGCAAGCATTCATTATAATTTTTCCCTTTATTATTATGTAAAATGACAACAAAGAAGAATTTTATTTACAATCCTGCTTCTTAATTCATTTATCCAAAAGAAATCACATAACTCATCTTTAAGTCCATCAAATTAAAATCCCATAGGGCATCTAGCTCTATGGAAAGAGTTAGAATATTTTGCTTTAAGTAAGAATTAGGCAAGACCTAACAAAATATTGCAATAACACTTCATGCTTTAGGCCCCACCTTCTTATTGTTATTATTCTAACATTATCACTATGCAACATTTAAAGTTCATTAGCAAGAATATTTATTCTGGAGTCAGGCATATTGGTGTTATAATAAGAACTCAATTTCAGACATCCCAGAACAATAATTAGATTTGTTAAAAAAACCATATAGAGACTGTTCAATAGATCAAAAGCATTTATTGTGCAGAGTTATCTTTTATGATATTCAGATATTTACTTCAACAAACTTCACACACTAAAACTAAGTCACCACTGTGCCAGAGAATATGGGACATATGTTGGTAAGTCACACTAGAAATCACCTCATTTGTCCCCATTTGTTATGAAACACAGAGTTTTGAATCTGGACTAAAATCCCTTACTCTACTGAACCAACTGATCATACAGTTTTGATGATATCACACTAATCACAGAGAAAATGTGAGGTTCAGGACATGTTCCCTAAGGTAACTGATTGTAGAGGATGGCTTTCAGAAACATGTTAGTAGTTACACATTCAATAAGGTTTCTGTATGCATATGAATACAACATATAAAATTTCATTTATACTTTTTTCACAAATACAGGTTGATAATACAATTATCATGTCCCCAAAAACCTGAATACATCAGTGCTTTTAAGGAACATTACCTGGGTTTTACATTTGGTGTTTTTAAGGAACATTACCTGGGTTTTACATTTCAGGTTCTATTCCTATTTGTGAATTATGCTCATAAATATATCAAAAAACTGCCTCAGTACATTTGAGGAATACAAATGAAATGTCTTTGTTGCAATATTGATGTATCTTGCTGAATTTGGACACAGCACTTGTTTAAGATTCATCATCTGTTTAAATGGTATGTTTGTCCATGATTTCCACACAACTGGTTTCAGTAACATATTATTGATTCATAGAAAGCTTCATTAATATGTTTCTCAATGTTAAAATGCTTTGTAAACATTTCAGACCAGAGATTCTTTGCCAAGTACCTGTTTTGAGGAGCCTTTCAGGTATGAGCTGTGGCTGTGACTCGTGGTCACTACCCAGCTTTCACTGTGTGACTGTAACAAACACACACCCAGTGAACCCATCCCTGACCTACGTGGCAGGGAGCCATCCCAGGCCATGGCAATGCAGCTATTCCTCAAAATTCCTGGAATAAAAAAAGCCATTTGTTCACGTTTTTTCATAAAAGTGAACAAAAGGGATCTGAGGATGGATGACTCAAAAAGACCCCACAACATTCACAAGACAACAAAAATGTTCCGTGTTTCTGACCTGTTTTACCAGTCACAGACTGGTGTATGATGCAGCAGCCTAGCTATTCCTCCAGGAGAGGAAAACCCATTGCTTCTGAGTCATGGATTAGGAGAGGAAATTCATAAGCAAAGAAGATTGCATACCGGCAATATTCAAGAAATGAAAATGGCTAAAAAACAAGCGGAGTTTGTTACCATGAGTGAAAATGTTCCCAGGAACAAGAAGAGAATACAAAGGGAAGGAAGGTGTTATGCATTAAAATAATCCCAGAGACGCAGGAATATGGGTGTTCTAAGGCCCTGGGACAGAAACAGCTTCACTCTGAAAGAAAGCAAAGCTCCAGTTTGAGGAATGTGCCCAGAGTACCACCCATCAAATTCAAACAAAACCTTGAGTCCAGAAAGAAGGGAACAAAAGGGGTCCATTTGCTATATGGAGGGGGTGTTTGCTAGAGCTGAAGGAAAATGAAGAAGTGTTCTTGAATCTGGGCACAACTGCCTTGCTCTTTTGCTGATCAGAAAATAAACCCAGGTGATTTTACACAAAGCACACCACAGTGCCCACTCTCCTGCCTGGCTGAGAACAATGAATATCTCTATCAGTGTGGCCCAGAAGGAGAAGAAAACCCAAGACCATACCCAAATTCTGTCTTTTTTTTTTTTTTCCTCCAAAAATTAAGAAACAAATAAAGAGAGTGAAAAAACTACACAGAAATATACAAGCACCGAAATTGGAATGACTGGTTTATCTTCCCTCTAGGAAAGGGGCACACAAAATCTCAAATTTCAAAGACCACATAGCTAATTTTTTTCCAGTTTAGTGCTCAAAAGAAAAATAAAGAACCCGCAAACCTTCAGTTCCATGTAACAAAACTGCAGTATTTTTTTGCTTTTCTTCTTGAGAGTTCAAAAACAAAACCCAAATAAGCTGAAACCTAATTGTGGTACCACCTTACTGGAGTTTCCACAGTAAGACAGCACAGAGAAAAGCAGATAATAAAATCATCCCAGATGTCTGTTATGAATAGACAGGGGCAGACAAGCAATCCACCTTGAGGAGAGACTGACATCAAGCCCACTTCAGTAAAACCACTGTGTGGTGACAGCAGTGAGCAGACGTATGGATTTAAACCCATAAAGAAATAAGAGAAGGGAACCGAGTTTCAATTTTGCACCCCAAAAAGACAGTGCATAAAATAGAGATGCCTTTGTCAACATTTTCTAAAAGAACTATGTTCTATTATAACTTCAACAAAAAAATTTAATTTGATCTGAAATTAAATTTTACAGGCTACCATTCTAACAAGAAAATTTGATTACATTGAAGGTTAAATTAAAAGATTCCTTTCTCTTCAACCCAAGCTTAAAATGAAAATTTAATTACAGTGATAAATACTCTTTAATATACATTTTTGTTTAGCTATACTGCTGTATTTTTGATCCATCAGCTGTAAGAATGAACTAATATAACTCAAACTTTTGAAAAGTGTTTTATCTGATGGATCACTGCCTGGTATAGACTTTAATATATTATTTCAGTATTTTGTAAGAATGCTTATTCTGTTTAAAAAGATACAGCACAGGACTGACTTCATTAAGTGATATTTTTAAGAATTCCTGTGCCTGATATTTGATTAACTGAGACATATCTCACTCCAGTTTCCAGACTCTTAAATTAAAAGGTTTTCCACCACCTTAGGTTCACTGTTTCCAGAATGCAACAGTGTGTTAGGAAAATGTAAAACTCTTCTGTCTATTTAGACCTGGTTCCCTTTGAAAAACCTCCAAAATCTTCCTCTCCGAAACTCTGTCCTGAGACTCTCTCTGCCCCTAGTGAGGGTGATAAAACACACCTGCCACAAGCAGGGATATGAAACTGTGAAGCTCGAGAGGGATCCCCACACCCAATAAGAACATGAGTGTAAAATTATCCATCACAATCTGAAGGTCAAGTTGTCAAAAACACCTATGTTTACTAAAGATGCTGAAACATATGACTTAAAATATTAAGTGCTTTAATAAAGGCTCCAAAACTAGTTTCTTTGTCCTCTGTGAACTATGAGGAGCAACAACAGCAGATAACACAAGGACAATAAAAGTGAAAAACATTAAACTCTGCTGAGAGAACACCTGGGAAAATGTAGGTTGAACCAACTATCACTTACAAGTATCCATAATTAATAAACAAATAGAGGAAACAATGCCAGATATTTGTTTCAGTAGTGGGGTTTTTGTTTTAAAGAACTTTTCTATCACAAAAAAAGCAGGTAATAAATCAGTAATACCTGATATACCTTCATGATATTGACAGTTCCTTCTCCATGCTGGCCTGGGGATCCTTGGCTCTGCAGCAGATTTCTCACTGTCTCCTCCATTCTAGAGAATAAAAATATTTATAAAAGTCAACCGCATGGAAAAAATTTCAGAGTTGCATTCAGTGTTTTTGTTCTTTACAAGAGCCTAATGCATCCATGGCTACCATGAAATTAATATTTAAAGACAATCCTAGCCTTATAATGTTCTCATGCTCCATGTTATGAATAACACATTAAGGGCACTCTTTTATCTTTTGAATATGCACAGTAATTAGTTGTATTGTTTAAATCCTACTAAAACCAAATGTGTGCAAAAGACATCACCTTGTTAACAGTGCAAACACCACCACGATAAGATTATCGCCATTTAGGAGCAGTCAGGTGGAAAACCCCCCACACAGCTGTGCTCTGAGCCAACAGTGGGGTCTGTGCTGCTCAGACAGGCTGTCCATGGCATCTCTGCTATCACTGTCTGTGGCATGGGGCAGCCTGTGCCACTGCCTTGGTGGCAAATCCTATTTACAGAATTGATAGGGGCACAGCAGCTGAACACTTTCACCCTTCTCTGCCCTTTCAAACAGGGTACCCCATCAAAAGTCATCTTTGATCTACACACATGCATCAAGAATGTTAAACTGATGATAACACCAATCCTGCTGAATGGAGCCTGCTCAGAAAAAGGAGTTCTGCTCCTTCCCACAATAGGAAAAAGGGAAGCCACCTATGAAACATTGGTCCCACTCAAGGTGGATCAGAAATTAAATCCTATGGGCTTAGGAGATGTCACAAGGCTGATCACAAACAGCAGGGCTGGTTTCAGCTGTGGGTAAGAGGAGGAAAAGGATCAAAACCAGAGGAGCAGTGATGGACACGACAACAAAGACACTGGGTTTCACAGCCAAAAATGGTGAAAATTTCAGACAAGGTCCTCACACTTCTCCCCACACCCAATGTCCTCCACAGATTCTCATCCCTGTACAGCCTCTCCTTCAGCTGTGTTGCAACAGCTTTTATCGCTCCCTTTCATATTTTCTGCTCCTTTCCTTTCAAGCAGTCTCAGTCCCTTGAGATAGTTGGAAAAACAGCCCAGATGGAATAGGGGCTGGAGAAGGGAAAACTGCTGTGGCACAGGCATAAGGGTGATGCAAAAGCAGGAGAGAGAAATACCTTAACTCATACTGCCAGATACACTGTATATTGAAACAGTGACCTTGAAGAAGGTGCCAGTATTCCTGGGCATATCAGACCAGGAACTGCCTGCTGTTGTTTATTTCTACTGTGTTTAGAGAAACATGACTTTTGTGTAGCACTCTTTCCAAATGAAACTGAGCAGAATTATTTGCAGCATATCTTTTTTATATTTGTTTATTTCTAAGGTAACAATCCAGTGAGACAGAAAATATTAGCTAACTGTTCTGGCCAAAGGCCAATAGCATTATCTTTTATATGAGCCTCATAGTCTTTCTGTTCTTTCAGTCTTATGAGAATGAATGGCACTGGCTAATTAAGCAACAATGTGATGTTATTCCAGGTTTTCTCCTTTCAAGTCAGCCCACTACACAACTTTTCAAGAAGCTGACACTGGGTGCTCATTCTACTCAGATGAACACTGACATTCTACTTATTCCTGTGATTTTTTTTGTCATTGATGTGCAGACTTCTACACTGCCAGAATGCCCACAGAATAGTTTGACCATCTGTTGACCAAATGTGCATAAAATCAAGCCAGCTCTAATCTCTAATGCAGACAGTGGTTCAGTTTTTCAGTTGCAGATTGGAACCATTTCTGCTCATAGGCTGACCTTAATCAGATGCCTTTTACATGAAAGAACAAATCATTTTGGTTCACACCATAAATTCCTGTGCAGTCTTCACTGAATGATTTCATTTCTTAACATGCCCACCATTTCATTTTTAAATTAATGGTGTAATAACATTCTTAATTATTGTGTTTATCTATGCAAATGCAGTTCCAGTGCTAGTCCTCCACAACATTCTTCCAAATTAATAAACAAACAAAAATGGGAGAAAGAATAGATTCAACCAACACTAAATCACAGTTTTTCAATTTAGACCTAAGGGTATTAATGAAAATAAAGTCTAGTTGCATATTACTATGATCACTTAAACCAGCTCAGGAAAATTATGAATTCTTAAATTCAATAGGTCCTTTAATCTTCAAACTCAGATAATCTATTTTGGACCACAGGCCTGCCTTGTTGAACAGCCTTACAGGGGCAGGCGAGCACTCAGCTTCTTGTGGCAATCAGAAACACCTTCCATCAGCACCCAGATTTCTAAGCAACAGGGTAATTTTTGCAACATGACCAAGAGCTCAGTTAAAGACAATTGAAACTTCTGTGGTTTTGCTGTTTGCAGCTACTATAAAAGTCTGTAAGAGCTGACAGCTTCTAAGTTGAACCACAGACATAAGAAACTGTGTGGTCACATCACTATCAAACCAGCCCTGGGAGGATATTACATGGCTATTGGGTAGCCATGGAATATCTGAAAAAGAAGAAAAACCTAGGAGAAAACAGAGAGGTGAATTATGCTTGCAGTCAGAATCACTGCAAAGCTCTGATGGCCAGTGCTCCTGCAGTTTGTGAGCTTCTACTTCTTCACTCACATCCCTGGTGTTCATTTTTAGGACCAATATGGCACAGGAGGATAATCGAGATTTGTTTCTCATGAATGAGAGGTTTTGATGCATGAATTAATGGCACCTTAATTGAAAAGCTATTGTTATCTTATGATCTATAAAACTCTCCTCAGTGACAACACATGCCAGAGCAATTTATTACAAATCCTATTTACAGAATGCAAAAATAATGGAGCCTCAATAAATTCAGCTTGGGGTCCCATGTTTTGCTCCCTGAACAAGGCCACCAAAGGGTATGAAAATTTTGGAAGTGAAGCAGAAAAATTATGAGCTTTATGAAAGGCTATTTCTACATACTGACCTATATTTTTCCTCCTTCTGGTAACCACAAAAGGTTATTTGCTCTTGGTTTGGATTCTAATATCTCAGCTGGACCCAATCCAACATCTAGCACTTCCAGATTATTTTTAGGATAGTTATCCCCACACGTGCATTCTGCCTTCTTGCTGGACTGCTTTGCCAAGGATTCTCTGTATCTTATGTAACTAGCAAGCTGTTAAAATCTGAAAAATCAGCGTCTAAAGCTCATCACTTCTGAGTCTACATTCTTCAAGCACTATTTAAGAACATTTATTTTCCCCTTTCTTTTGTATTTTATTTACTGTCTATTCACCTGAAGCATCTTGCATAGTGCCACTAAATTTTCTGTTACATCTGTCATTTGAATTGTCATTTTCTTAAAACTCAAATCTTCCTCTCCACTTCTATTTTTTTAATAAATTAGGGGGATTTTTTTAAAGCAGAAAATAAATAAAAACCATGTTCAAAACAAGCTCCTTAAGTTTCCTGACAAAATGCCAGCTTAGTGTAAGGGAACAGATCTCCACCAGACCTAACCTAAGGATAAATTTCTCAAAGCACAAAAAAGAAGAAATGAGGCATTCAGAAATCAGAATCTGTTCTTGAAATATAAGAATTTAAGTAACATAAAATATTAATGTTACTGTGGAAAGCACTGTCAAGATTCCATCTGGAAGATATTTACAATTACAACCACAAGTGTTCAGGAGTGGCTCATCCAGAGAGGATTCCACAAAAGGGATTGCTCTGAAGCTGTTGAAATGACAGAGTGTGCCACAAGAAGAGACTAAACAACTTGCTAAACTTAAGAGACAGAGGGTTTAAGCAGCCAGGTATGACTTACACAAGAGAATCAGTGGGAAAAAAGCAAAGTGTGAAAGAAAACTACATCAACCTAAGGCAGATGATTGAAAAACAAGTTCTATTTCATGGTTATAAATACATTTAGGCTGAAATGAGGATGTTTTTAATAATTGAAAAAGCAAGACTCTGAACCAGCCTACCAGGTAGAGTAACAGGATGAGAAATACAAACAGTTTCAAGCCACAATTGGTTCATTTACGAAATTAATTACACATCATGTCAAGAGCTGAGGACTTGAATTTATAATCCACAGGTTCTTGCTGCTGTTCCTCCTGAACCAAAATCATTCCTACACTTAAAATATGCAATTTGTCCTGTGCTGTTGAGAGAATACCAGGAAATAAATCCAATTGCAATGGACAGTAATTTATTTTCTTGGTTTTTTTGTGGGGTTTTTTTTTTTTCCCCCCCGATTGTGTTTCTGGGCAAGGGGGAGACAGGAACCTATGGAAAGGAGGAAACGTCATTCCCTGCCCAGGGAGCAGCCCACAGCACGCAGATCTCATGTGCCCCAGGCTGCAGAGGAAGCTTCCTCGGTATTTTTGCTGGAGACTTGCTTTTAATGCTTCTCACTGTCATGGTTCTGACAGCTCTGCTGCCTCCCTCTCCCTCCTGGCCCTGCTGGTGCCAGAGCACAGCTTCAACCAGGCCAGGCTGAGCAGACCCTGCTGAGGTTGATGCATCAGTACTGAACAATTAAACTCCTAAATTCCCTACCAGTTTTCTCAGGACCATCACTTCCACAGGCAGGCACGTCCTTTGTGCCATCCCACAGCAATGTCACGGTCGGAAATCCTGCTTTGTGCCTCTGCCATAAACCAACACTCTCCCTAACCCAGGCTCTGCTCAGCCATGTCCCACACAGCAGCTTTCCCTCCAAAGGAGAGGCAGCACGGAGCTGTTCAGCACTAGAAGGTCGATGACAGATTCAACCCTTCCCCCTTGACCTATTTCCTTCCAGATTTCCACAGGCTGGCACTGCCTTTTGCTAGGTGCTATCACCTTCCCTTCTCATCATCCTCAAGCTCATGTGACTTTACTTGGTGGTTACTTCAAATGGATGTCACAAGAATTCCTTCAGCTTGATTCTGATGTAGTCTTCCAGAGATGTATCCAAAGGTTTCTACAGAATCCCACTGCAGCTGTTGAGTTTTATATTTCAGCTTTTTCTTTCTCATGTCATGTAAGGTGCAGGATAATTTTTTAGTCTTAGAGAAAAATATCAACAACAGATC